ATTTAGTTTAACTCGGTGTTACCACCACTTATTAACGTACATAATTATTTCTTATTTTACACATTATTAAAAAATATATAAATTAATTTTAACATCATTTGAACATTTATTAGTGCATGAAAACAAACGTGTGGAATCAAGAATCCAACAAAAAAATGTGATTCCATTTACTAGTTTTAACAAATGCTAACGCCCATTCTCATCCCTCCACGAGCTCCTTTAAAGCTCCATCTATAAACCCCCCAACCCCAACTCCCACTCCAAATACTCTTAGCGTTTTCCCCCCTCAAGAAACAAAATAATGACTATCAAGTCCCCCATTTTCCCTATACCTAAACCTCATCACTTTGGTGACTATGGCTTTGATCCTCAAATCATTTTCAGGTACTATTAACTTACGCTCAACAATTATACAAACGCACAAAGTCAACAAAGTAAAATATTTGATATATTGTATTCAACATTTCAACGAAATAAATTTAGTACTTCTCTTTCATGGTTCCATTGAGTGTGGTCTAGCATGAAAGGTTAATGAATCCTCGGAGTTGGTTCGAGAATAAGACATTCAATTATATAAAGTCGATGATATTGATATAAAATATAAAATTACTAAGTTTTAGAATTCTATCTTAAAATGTTAGCTTCTTTAATTTTGTGTAGAGAATAGTAAAACATTTTTTGAACTTGTTTCACATACACTTTATTGAATTACATTACTATTTATAAGGTTGTACAAGTGACCTATTTGAACCTGAATTCTATAAGATAATTGGCAGTTACAAAAAATATCTATTATCAAGATTATCGACAATTGAGAAGATATACAAAATAACCATCTAAATGTGAGATAAGGTTATCCAACGTTATCCGTTCTTGATCATATTTAAGCAATCCGCAAGATAGTGACTTGTTTAAGAACATTAATCTTGAAATATCACTTCTCGTTCAAGCTTTTATAATTACAATTACAATAAGTAATTCTATAATGACGTGTTCGCTTGTGTATATTTTTGAAACAAATGTATTGGAAGAAGGTAAAAAACAGAAGAGGGAGAACTCAAAGATCAAGAAGAAGATCAAACGGTGGTGGAAGAATGCCTTGGTCATTTTCGACTGGTTCCCACAAGACAACAAGTACAACTCGACCACCTCTGAGTATAACAGTTGCAATGATTTTGATTGGCAGGTCCATCATGTGCACCATCGCACTGGATCCGTTACACGTTATCGAACCACCAGCCTGCCGTCATTTGGACCACTTGCCGGAACTTCGACCAAGGATGAGGTGGAGATCCCATACATTAGCCTCAGGGAGCTTAACATGGATCAACAGAAGGAAGTCTCAACCACTGCCATGCCCATATATTTGGTAACCTAATGTGATAAGACTATTTGATTCTCAAACTTGGTCATATCTTCATTATTCCGCTGGAATCAACGAACTTTTGATTACTGAATTCTCAGATATTTATTTTATCGACAAGTCTTTGGTGTGAAATTTCATAGTTTTGTGCTTTCGTTGATTGCTGAATGTATAGTAATCTCAATGGTTGGTTCAGAAGGCAGAGTCGGCCGACACCAGAAAGCACTACACAAAATCATCGTTATGCCATAATAACCTCATTTGCGAGAAGCTTAATGTACAAACTTTCTGTCTAATCTTTAGAAAATGACACAAGAAAATAAAAAAATAAAAAGTATGAAACTGTTTAATCATCAGCTGAAGTACACTTTAATCAGCTGAAAATTTTTAGCAGTATTTTCCAAAGGCTCAACATCTTTAGCTGAAGGAAATTCTTGATGCTGATCAATGGAAGATTGAGAGGAACTCAGGTTCTTGACCTTGAGATCTTTGGAGTGACCTGAAATTTAGTTTGCACAAGTGAAGTAGGGTTATTCAAAAGCTATGAGCTTATTCTTGATGTAGCTATAAATGAAATGTGTCATATACAGTTTATGTTTTTAGATGAGATAGTTAAATATGGTACAGCGTTACTGTCTGCAAACCGTCCACTTTACATGCTAATACTCACGATTTCAGTAGCCATGCCTTGGAACAGTTGAAGAACTAGAATTTCTATTATTCATCTCTCAATATTATAGTAATATTTCAACTGCACGATTAATTGCATAGATTAGTACTTCCCAATTATTGAGATAAGTACTCGTCGCGGAAGTTTGATATCCGGCTGCTAAACAAGAGGGATATCGAACAACCATCTGTGATCCATTTCACATTCTCGGGCTGAAACTCAAAAAAACGACTTAGAACCTCAAGATCTCATGCAATTACTATCAGCAAAAAAATTTACAAGGCAATAATTATAGGAATAACTTATAGTTTCGATGGAAAATTCTGCGAGTATTATCTAAATGAGAACCATATCACATAAATTTTTACCTGTGTAGGAACAATTTAATGAGTAAAAATGCCCTATAAGGAAATATCTAAGCCAACTTACAGTTCGTTTAGATGAACTTTGGACCTTGGAGAGCTCAATATCCGGGGCCTTCTGCCTCCGTTTTTCATGAATGAGAACAAGTGCACATTTGCACATGAAGTAAAGAAGCAGCACACCAAGAGAAAATACCACAATCGATTCAACAACAATTGCCGATCCTAAAACTGTACCACAAAGCAAGGCTAACATTAGTTTTTTTATTATTCCTTTTTTGTTGGCTATGAAACAATGTTTGGTGTCAATTAGACAATTTAGCAAACAAAATTGCAAAAGTATATGCCCCCGTTTGGCCCTCATTCTTGACAAATTTTAATGGTTGGAATAGTATTTTTTTGAAAAATATGTGGTTGAAAAAAAATGAAAAGTTTTTGATTTGCGTATAATATTATTTTATGGAAGATTGTGTAGTTGAAAATAAGAGAGAAAAAAGAATGAGAATGAGAATGAGAATGGGGGCCAAACGGGGGCTATGTATCAAAACCAGTAACATGTAAATTCTGAAGTTCCACAAACACTTTTGAAATCAGAAGAGTTGTGATCGTTGTATCTTACAATGAGCTGCCAATGGACTAATTGGTCTTCGTCTTATGAGACTTATTGTAGACTCGGCAAGAAGAGGCATTGACATCATCTCTGTACAGTTAGGATAGCATCCATAGTTTCCCATATCATTTACTGTGACCGTTAAGACAGAACTATGTTCGCCGTCCTGTCGAGGAAAAAAGTTGATTCTATCATATACCACTATAACATATATAAGCGAATTTCTTCATTGGAAGAAGCCATGTTATGGTTCAAAAGTAAATTATATTATTAAATATCCAATTGCTTTATGAAAGACAATGAAGAGTGCTAGTACACTCACATGGTACAACAGTTGTTCCATAATACTGTTGCAGTCATTAATTGTACCTCGGATTCGGATACCTTTTGCTTTAACCACAAAATGCTTTGAGATGGTAACAAATGTTTGAATAGGCTGCCATTGATAACTCGTGTTTAACTTTAATTCGGTTGAACTAATGAGATCTGCTGGAAGGTTCGTTGACAGAAGTCCAGAGCTCACTTCCAAGGAGAAAACGACCAAAAAGCGAGACCAGTTGCCTAAAGATCGCTTGAGTATCAGGTACTATATGTATACTCAAAGTTCAACAAGCATTTACGCATGTATATTACATAAACTCAATACATAAATTCATCTGGCCTTTATATATTATTTTCGAATCCTTCTACTCTATCAATTCTTAAACATACCAGGAAAATTCTGAAGATCTGGATCTCCAATGAAGTCAAATTTGTCTCTTTGTCTAGCAAAGATAGGTGCCTCATCATTCTTTTCATCCAGGATAACGAATGAGGGAACATTAATAAAAGGTGGATCGTTGATTGGTTGCACATAAACCGGAACATTTAAATCATTCTTTCCATTTTTGTTGATTGTAGAAATTCGGAGTGTATCAGCACCATAGAAGTTCTCCTTTCTAATCCAAAGACAAGCAAATATTATAAGCTAGAAACATGATACCATGCCATTCGAATTGGAAAACAATGAGTTCAGTTAGTTGCACCCGAAGTATTGGATTGACTGAAGAGCAAAGTTGATCACTTCAACACAGCCTACTAAAGTTATTTCTTTATCCATTCCAATGTCTTTGCTGATAGAAAATTCATTCCATCTTGGATGCAAAAATTGCATTGGCATAGGAGAAAGCAAAAGTTCTCCGGACAGTGAACTGAAAGTAACAGTGATATTTTCTTCCAAATCAGAGTAAATAATTTCAAATCCCAAGAAACCACTGCATAGAGACCAAAAAACCAATAGCATTTGGATATGTTCGCGCTCGTATATTTTTAGTTTCATAGAATAACATCAGAGTACAAATAGCATCTTACCCGAACTTGGGACTGACTAGATCTTCTGTAGCTTGCAATTGACTTGGAATGAAAACAAACCGAGGTGGTATGCAGAGGACAAATAAATTTACAGCACCCGAAGCAACATTTCCATTTATATCAGCTATTGTATACAAGAAATAATCATTTCCGTAAAATCCTTTACATGGCGTATATCTAAAGAGATATCCATACTGTAGAAGTGAACCATGAGTGGGCTGCCAAGATGTGTTATATCAAGGATCCAGAAGAAAACTTTTCATTAGAATTTTGCAAGCATTACTTTCTACTGAAATCTGAAATCCTACATGCTTGTGTGATATTACTAAACTACGATTTTTAATCTATTAGCACGAAACTAGTTTCCAAGAAATGGCATTCTATTATTTACAAAAGAGGAACTTGAAGGTATAAGTTAAAGGAAATCCCCTAAGTTTTCTTCAACACTGGCTCAATCCCTTGTATATTGCATATTGCTTACCTTTGAATATTCCACAATACTTGCGTTGCCAACAGCAAAGTAATCGTTTTCTAGAACGTTAAAAGCAACTGACTCATCCTCCCATACAGAAATTGTATCATTGTAGACTTTAGGAAAATATTCACCTAAAACAGATGGGATTTAATATAGTATTAGGAATATAAATGTGGTGCTGAGTAAAGAAACTGAGTTCAGATTTTCATAGTACAGAACGAATAAATTATTACACATGCATGTGCATTCAAAGCTCAGAACTTACCACTGTACACATTCACCCCAAAGGGACATGGGACGAAACGGTTACCATCATATGAAGCGCATAACTCATACGTGCCAACATCATTTGCCAGGTAGCTACCAGTGTAATATCCATCATTGTTATCAGAAAACGTCCATGTGGAAGAAGCAGATCTGTTAATTGAAGCAATCTCTAGTTTCAACTTTGATTGTTGTAACAGGACGGGATTGTGATATGAATCCATGAGTTGTACAACTATTTCATTTTTAATCAGCTTCGACACTTTGGGCGCAAATTTCACAACCCCAGAGAGTGATAAATTAACATTGCCTGCAGTCGAACAATGAACCCATCAAGAACCTTTAAGATCAAGACAATGAACCAATACCCCATAGTCCACCCTCCCGAACAAGACAATAGTAGTGGGATACATATTATTCATATGCCAAGGACTGTTACCTGGACTTACTTCCTTTCTAAATGTATGTCCACCATTCAATGGAATATTTCCACAAAATACACGAATTTCATATAGACCACTCTTCTCGGGTACATAAATGACATCGAAGGCACTAGCTTTCTGATTCCAGTTTCCAGCAGACTGCATCCAAAAACCCAATATTATCAGTAATACTGTATCCTGTAGCACATAATATATATATATAAGGAATGCATAAGTATACTTCCTTCTTTGTGCTGAATATTGGAGCAGAATCAATTTGCGTACGATCGATATCATTCAGTCTACCAGTAGACAAACTACCTGTAGGACAGATGCGCCCTCCCACTCATAAATAACATTAAAATTTTTTAAAACCAATAATGGATTTAATCTTGCTTTTTACCATTGACAGTCTCCCTTATACGTATACTTGGCTGTATGATTTGGGAATCAAATTCATGCACAATTTGTACTTGAAGCCTTTTTAACTCAACAGGAGCAGGATATAGATAAGCATCTTTAAGAAACACAGAAAACTTTGCAGCATGACCAGCAACAGAATTATTTAGACCAGATCCATTGACAATGCTGTTCATTCCGTCGCAATAACCTATTTAAGATATTGCAAAAGATCAAAGATTTTAAACATATCACATGTGAAATATAAATAGGATTAAAAGTGGCCTTTGATTATTTGCTAATAATTCTGACTCTGCCTTAAGATATACAACTTCTGTAAGTTGAAGGGCGAGAGAAATGGTGAAGAAAATAACGAGTAATGAATTGTAGAACGGGATTTGGATTGCCATTCTTTGAAGATTGCGAAATTCAGTAAAGGAAATTCTTAACTTTCTTGGTGGATTATTAAAATGAAGTGGGCAAATTTGAAGCGGGAGATGTTTGAATATGATAACTGCTACAGGAAGAAAGTCGGTTGTGGCCATTAATCCACGTCCGGCACTGTTCCAATGTCTTAAACCATCGGCCCAAAATAGTAGGCAAGTACGAAGTGACATGGAGTAGTTATCATGGTTTCGCTAATAACTCATCATGTTCATGTTACAAAAGTATCATGATGTAAAGAAGTTAGCTCGATTAGCAAAACTAAAGAAATGAAGAACGACGTGCGAGAGGATAGCTTGGGAGTCTAAATATATATTTTCATATTCAGCACAATTTGAGCAATATGAGAAATGAAATTTTGCGATAATTCGCAAATGTGTTCCATCTTTTTCAATCCAATATGAAAAGACATGCGCTTATGGATTTACTGATTTATGTGTACATCAAGAAGAGTTTTAGTATGAATATGTACGTTGGATTATTTCAGAATCACTATGAAAATGATTATAAGTTAAGAGAATGTTTTACTTGACACTCAATAACGAGAGTGGCAACGGATCATAAAATTTAAAGTAGGATTTTTATTATCATTTAGCTAGTGCATTTAAGAAAGTCTGAATATAGTCTATTCTTTTGGCTAAATTATGAAATCACTCTTATGCCCCCGATTGATCTAGCTAAAAAATTAATAAAAATATAAGTCAAATTTTCAACCATTAATTTTAATCACATTTTATGGGATTCATGATGTCATCAATTTTTAACCACATATTTCATCAACTTATGTCAAAATATATTAAAAATCTAGTTTTTAACAAAACCAAAAAGAGGCTAAATTTTAGTTGCTACATTTTTAAATCAATAAATATTATTAGTTAAGATTCTAAAGGATTACATAATTGACAAAAGAAATAGAGAAAAATAAAGAAAGACTTGCATACAACAGAACTGGTTTTTTTATTTTATTTTATTTTTTATTTTAAAGGTCAAGAATTAGAACCTCATAATTATGGGCCCAATCTAAACTTGAAATAACAAGGAAAAATAAGGAAGTAATACATGACTCCTACATATAAAAATTACATTTCAAAACTAACAAACTTGTCAAATTATTTCCAAATTCAAATGTTAATTCCAATTAATAATATATATGATATATAATTAATTAGAATTAATTATCCCCACCCTACCCATCCCTACCAAATTAATAATATATCAATTCATGATATCCCACAGACACTTGCACCCACTTGTAAAAAAAATAAAAAAATGAAATTTTTTCTCAAGATTACACCCATCCTCGGAACCACACTCCTCTCCACCCAACTTCTAAAAAAATCCAAAGAATTAAAAAGATTTTTGGGAGATTACATCCCACCCCACGGAAGCACCCCAAAATTATCACTAACTATGTTATCTGTGACCATATTATTTTTTATGACTAGACTTGTGTTATATGTGATTAACTATAACTAAATTTGTTTTCGATCATAGCTTAAACTACCACCACCTCACGAGCACTGCCAACATGACCACCACTATCATAGCTTGCCCTACCATCACCAATTGCACACAAACAACAAAACTCATCCCAAAATTTTCGGTACCAAATTGTAACCAAATTCCCCCAAATCGCGACCAATAAAACTCAAACAACAAGCAGTGTGACACTTACAACGTAGCTGTGCAATGGTCACACAACGGTGAGTGCTGCTTGGTCTTTCGACAGAAAGAGGGAATACAGAGAACTTGTAGCTAGAGATGTTAACGAGTTGAGTCGAGTCGAGTTGGCTCGAGCTTTTTTTGGCCCGAGTCGAGCAAAAGCTCAGCCAAAAAAATTAAGGCTCGACCCGAGCTTTAGACCCAAGCCGAGCTAACTCAATTTTCTAGATTTTTTTCTCTTAGTTGCCTGTTTGGCAACCAAAATTAGCTGCCAAACAGGCAGCTAAAACTGCTGCCTGTTTGCTGCCGATTAAGGCAATTTAACTGTCTGTTTGGCAGCTAAATAGCTGCCAAATAGGCAGCAGATTTTTCCTTTTTAATTTTTTATTATTTTTTTTATGGGTCCACCCAGCTCGAGCTAACTCCCAGAAAATTAGGCTCGAGTCAAGCCGGAGAGCTTGATTGACATTCCTACCTGCAGTGGTGCGTTACTACTGCACCAACAGCAGTGGTGCCTCACCCTATCTAGGATATAGATAAGGTGCGTCGCTACACACGATGGTTCTGAACTAGTAGCACGGTGATGCTGAATATAGAGAAGGTGTGGGTCGAGAGGGGAGAGAGAGGAGAGTGTTACGTGTTGTCATACTTGACCAATCTACTTGAGCCGATGGCCCACTCAATCCGAACTACGTAGCCCTCCAGCCGAGGTGGCATGTATGGCCGAGGCCCATATACCGAGGCCGGTTAAGTAACTAAAGTCCATATGTCGAAGTCCATGAACTGAAGCCATGATGCGAGATCACCCAAAAGATAGCCGAAGCCCTAAAGTGGGAGTATTACGTGAGTGGCAGAAGCCCTGAATTCGAAGCCCAAGCAGAAGCCTCCGAACCATGAAGGAACGTCTTCCATGATCACTTCTCCCAAGAGATCTTCTACATAAAGTTCTTGTTTGAATGATTGATGGAACGTTTGTCATAAGTGTACATGTCAAGTCTTGTCATTAGCATGGGGGATCTGCATAATCAATAAATGCGCAGCAAGTTAGCAAGTTAAGGATGATGTCTAGGATTGGATGTTTGGATTAAAGAGATGAGGCCACGTGCCACCTCATCCAAGGGCTGCCATTTCACATGTACCACTATAAATACTTCCCTTGTGTAACATTAAAAGGCTAATGCAAGAATCAATACAAGAAACCACATTTTACTCTCTCTTTCATATTATCTTACAACACAATACGAGTTCATACATATTTACATGCACATTCATGAGTACCGATTGGTAATTATTGTACAATTGGATTGAGAACATCTTGCCGGATTCCAAACGTTCTCGTCCTGCGTCGTTAAGCTACTCCCACGCCCCTGATCCGTTTGTCCTAGACTGTCCACGTGTTTTAGTGTGTAGGACCTTCGCTCACGTGTGCGCGGGTGGGTCCAGCATCTGTTGGTAACATTTTTTAGGGGTCAACAAATTGGCGTCATCTGTGGGAAACCATACTATAACCACGAACAACCTTGAGGTAAAAGCTTATTGAAGAGCATTTAGGAATCCCCCTTGAAAAAGGATTTGTTCTTGAAAAAGAACAAGAGGAAGCCCCACAACTTAACAAAATTTGAAGAGTCAGACAAAAAGAAAATGAGGTCAAACGAAGACACCCCCCAGGAGGGTAAGAGAAAACGCGAATGTGCCTCCTCCACCTACTGCCTCAGTAGCTCGGCAAAGACTCCACCACCACCAAAGAAGAGATGGAATGTGGGCGACGGCATAGCTGTCAAGAGAAATGACTGCCATGACGACCAACATGAGGGATATTGCTAGCCAAAACTTAGCTATGAGGGAGCTCATGGCCCAAATGCAGGGCTAGGGAGGCTTTCCCATTTCTCCATACGCCCCTCAAGGGCACCAGCAAGAAGATGAAATTCAAAGTCATAGAGCTGCCTCACCGGACTATAGCCGAGGTGGAAGCCCATTTGAAAGGAAAGTGGAAGTTGATGTTTCCTCCAACTACGCTTCTGGCTGACCCACTGAGGTCCCATTGAACTATGATAACTTCCCACCTCTGTATGAGCAAGAGTTAAGACATAGGAGGGCAGACAGTGCATTTGACAGAATTAGCCCCGCTTAACCGAGGCTTAGGCAACAGCAGACTCACCATCCTTGGACAAGGCCACCGCCTCCACCTCCAACGCCCTAGCAGTTGGACGAAGGCATGAAAATGCCCCTGTGTTGCTTCGCCTAGAAATAGGCGCCAGAGGAGGGAGGAAGAGGCTAGAAATTGTCCCAAAACTTCTCACCAACAACCACGGCATGAGGCTGATAAACACAATTCAGATGAGCAGCAGAAGTTCTGTGACTTGGACGACGACGATGAGAATTTACCATTCTCGAGGGAACTAAGTGGTGCCCAGGATTCAAGCCACTATGTAATGCCAAAGATACCAAAGTATGACGGAAGAGGCGACCCAGAGAAGCACTTGAATGCTTATAAAACTCACATAAGCCTAAGGGGCGCCACCCCAGCTGTGAAGTGCAGAGCTTTCCATTTAACACTTAGTGGAGCGGCTGAAATTTGGTATAGAAGGTTATCGCCTGGGAGCATAAGAAGCTGGCCCGAGTTCAAGACAACATTCTTGAAGAGGTTCGCGGTAAGCAAAGAAGGAGAAGCCCCCATCCAACGTCTCCAAGACCTGAGACAAGCACATGGGGAGTCCCTAAAGAGCTTTCTATCACGCTTCACCGATGAGATGACGTATTGCATGCAAGTCACCGACCATGAGGCACTATCCACATTAAGGGGAGGTCTGAACATGAATACCCTATTCTGGAGGGACGTGCAAAATTAAGATCCCACCACCTATGATGCCCTACTCAAGATGATGAGGCGAAAAATTATCAATGAAGAATTGATTGAGCATAGGAACAGGGCAAGTAGAGGCCTCCCACCTCCTCAAAGGTAGCGTGCTAGAGGGCCGACCTCTCACTTGATGGACTACCAAATGAACCAGGTTGGAAATGAGAGGCCTGGCCAAGCACTTGCCACCACCACTTTAAACACGGTTCCTACCTTGGCATATGAGGATATCAACCCAATTACTAACACC